TGCTAAATGGCCCAGCCAGAATGGCTCAGTGGTTGAGCATAAATCCATGAACCAGGAAGTCAGGGTTCGATTCCCAGGTTGCAGGCTCCATGACCGATGTTTCTATCTCTCTCTCTCTCCCTTCTTGTCTCTAAAATCAATAAAAATATATATATATTTTTAAAAACCAACTTGCTAGATGGAGTGGAGATGACCGAGGACAGAAAGTGAACTTGAAGATAGATCAATAACACTTATCCAATATGAACAAAAGAGAGTAGACTGAAAATAAATTAACAGAGCCTCAGGCACTTGTGAGACAACAACACATCATTAGAGTCCCAGAAGGAAAGTAGAAAGAGAGGGGATGAAAGAGTACAGACAGTCTTTGGGTTACGTAGGACTCAAAGTACATCGTTTTGTGGTTAGATCACCATCTCCCATCCTATCTAATAAAGAGGGAATATGCAAATTGACTGTCACACCATCACAAAGATGGCGGCACCCACAGCGGAGGTGGTTTCCATAACACAAGATGGCTGCAACCACAGCGGAGGCCAAGTTCCCGTAACGAGCCTTAACGAGCAATCAGCAGGGACCAGACACTGCATGGCACTGGGCCAGGGCAGGGGACCTGAGGCTGTGCGCCCCGCCCAGTGGGGCTTGACAGGGGACCTCAGGCCACACCCCCCACCCCAGCACTGGGCCGGGGGACCTGAGGCCGCACCCCCTGCCCAGTGGGGTTTCACAGGGAACCTCAGGCCGTGCCCCCCACCCCAGCGCTGGAGGACCTGAGGCTGCGCCCCCCACCCAGCCCTGGGCCAGGGGACTTGAGGCTGTGCCCCCCACCCAGTGGGGCTTGACGGGGATCTCAGGCCGCATCCCCTGCCCGGCAGGGCTTGATGGGGGACCTCAGGTGTGCCCCCCACTCCAGTCCGGGCTGGGGGACCTCAGGCCGCACCCCATGCTCTGGCCCGGGGAACCTCAGGCCGCGCCCTCCATCCAGTGGGGCTTGACGGGGAACACTGGGCCGGGGCTCCTGAGGGTGCGCTGGGGGACCTGAGGCTGCACCCCTGCCTGGCGTGCACCAGGGGACCGGAGGCTGCACCCCCCATCCGGTGGGGCTTGACAAGGGTGGGGCTGGCCGATTCTTGATCTCGCCCAGTGGGGGTGGGGCCAGCTGGGTCTGTGTCTCACGTGATTTTGAGGCGCCATGGGTGGGCAGGGACTTGCTCTGGGTCCTACAGCATGCCCCAGACTCTGACAGGAGGAAGATTTTCATATACATTTTACTAATTTTCTTTCATCTCTGACACTTCTATTATAGAGAAAGGGCAAATAGCAATATTAAAATAGTTCCTCTAATTAATCCCCTTTTAATATGCACGAATTTCGTGCACTGGGCCACTAGTTTATTTACACACAAAAAAGTTCCGTCATTTCGATGTATGTACATATGTGCTTTATGTTTTTCATTATTTATTTACCACAAGTAAAGGTCAGGAATTGTTATCTTTCTTTTAAATTTTTTTACTGTTTCACTTCATTACTGCTGTGTATGTGCTCCATGTGAGTGACATAGGTGCTTATGTAGGTAGTTCCGACTTACGGCGAAAATCGCGTTATGTCACGCCATAGGAACGGATCTCCAACATAACCCAAGGACCTACTCTATTTAAAAAGATAATGGGGGAGAATTTCCCAAACCCGGTCAGGACACACACACACACACACACACACATATTCCAGTGAACCTTTTCTTTTTAATACCACTTGGAGTCAGACACCATGGGCTTAATTAAATCTCAGCCCCACCATGCACTTCAGGCAAGTTACTTAATTTTGCATATTGATTGGTCAGCATCTGTTATTTGCAGATGGGATGAGCAAAATTAAATAACACTTTTTGGAAGAATTATTCAGTAAGGTAGAAATAAAAATTGTATGGCCTATATTTAAGAAAAGCCAGCTGAACACTGCCACGGGGAAGGTGAGGTCTCTCAGTGGACACCTATAACTCCAGATGCCACATCTGGACCAAGGTGAAAATTGTTCATTGTTGAACTCCTTAAAAACTCCCAATCTCATCTGAGTCAGACACTAGAATTTTTTACGTTCTGCCTCAAAAAACACCTCATCTGCCACTTCTCCATCACCGTTGCTACCACCTTGTTCAAGTTCCCATTGTCTCTCACCTGGATGACTGCCACAGCTGCTTTAAAGCCTCTGTGGTGCAGCCCACAGGATACAAACTCAAACTTGTTGGCCAGGCACTCAAGGCACTTGACCAACTGGCCCCAATATCCCTTTGTCCAGTCTCATCTCCAACCGCTTGGTACCTTTAGTTTGATGAACTAGGGCCGTGGTCGGCAAACTACGGCTCGCGAGCCACATGCGGCTCTTTGGCCCGTTGAGTGTGGCTCTTCCTAAGCCTTAGGAGTACCCTAATTAAGTTAATAACAATGTACCTACCTATATAGTTTAAGTTTAAAAAATCTGGCTCTCAAAAGAAATTTCAATCGTTGTACTGTTGATATTTGGCTCTGTTGACTAATGAGTTTGCCGACTACTGAACTAGGGCAATGAACTTGGGTATCTTCAGGCTTATCCATTATCTCACAAAGCCTTACTGGTACAGTAACACTCAGCTCCCAGAATGCCTTCGCTTACTCAACAAACATCACTCCCTCCTCCCTCCCTGCCTCTGTGTCTCCAGGACACCTAACAGTCACATAGATTTTGCCATTGTTGATCTGCATGCAGGCCACCTCTTCACCAGAAAGGGGACCTTGAAGGCAGGGACAGACTGTCTTTATCTTTGTATCTCCTGCACCTAGCTCAGTATCAGTTCAGCTTGGCGTGAGGCCTTGGTGATTGTTAAATGAATCATAAGTAGCAAAATACTTATGACTAACAGGCTGATACTAACAAGAATTGATACACTTCATAGAACACATGTAAAACATGAAAGGAAAAAATAATGGGGGTAGATAAGGAATAGGAAGAGTGGATGCCAAAAAAGAGAGTAACTGAGTTTCCATATATGCAAGGAAAGGGAAGTTCCTGGTTTTGCTTTAATAATAGTAAATAAATGTAGAAACAAATGTTATTTTTAGCACTAAGAGAATTCAAAAGTTTGTTCACATTTAAAATTTGTTTTAAAGTGAAAAGGAAAAAACATTCCATATAACAGAAAAGAGACAGGAAATATCAAAATTAAGAAATGAATTTTATACAGAAAACATAACAATTGCACTATCAACCATAAGTTAAAGATGATAAATTCACACATAAGTAAATTATAGAATCTTCAAGATTGGTTGAACAGGAGGACAAGCTTTAAGTATTGACAAAAACATTAAAAAAAATAAACACACAACTAAATAATCTTGAGAAACAAACAACCAAAAAAACTTGGAGGAACTTTTTTAAAAAGAAAGGAATTAGATACTTGAAAGGAAAAACCAAAACTTTGGAAGGACCACAAGACACTGGCAGGAGTTGCTGCCTATGGAGGCAGACATGACCTATGGACACGACAGAATGATGCCAGCAAGAGTGATGTCTCTGTCCAAGTGCTATGAGACAGGAGGCATGCATGAGTATTTAATAGAGGCCGAGGGGATACAGAATTACCTGCACATCTGCATGAGCTTATATGTGAGATAAATTCCTAGAAAAAATGCAATTGCTGAATTAAATGGTATGTACCTTGAAAAGTGAAAGATTAATCTACAAATATCTTAAAGGTGAAACAGAAAAAGCATGATGTGTAGCATAAACAAAATATCATACTTGATAGAAGTGGAATGAGAAAAATGAGGTAAGGTGGAGCTAGGCAAGATACTAGGAATAGACACTGATATAACAGAAAACTGGCTTTGTCCTTCCCATTAACTTTGCCCCCACAGCAGAAACCTGAAGGAGGAGGACAGGAACCATGTGGCTATTTGGGAGGAGATTTGGGGCAGGACTCAGTATGATAATGAGCCTTAGAAAATGTGTGTACAAATTTACTTGCAAATAAACTTGTCTTCTGTTATTTTTAGTTTAGAGGACTAATATACAAAGCCATGAAATACTTTTTAATTCAAGCTGCCAACTCAGTTAAAGAATGAGCAAGCTGGAATACATCATATATTCAACAGCAGCCCTACTGTAATCCACCATAAGGCAGAAAGTTCCAGAAGCTAGAATATCCCATGGGCTGGGTGGCCCCAGGCTTGTGGAGGAGTTGCCATGTCTAAGTCAGGATGCTGTGCACAAGCTTCCAGCACTATTACCACCAATGACTCTGACTCAATTTCCTCCACTTTCTTTCCCAAAATTTCTACTCAGTATACTGGAAAAGAGCTCTTAATGTTATAATGAAAAGTTATGTAATGGATTTCCTTTATTTAAAAATATTAACAACAACAAAAACACCTGAATCTTGGGAGTGCTGAATAACAGAATAAATTGAGTTCCCAACTAAATTAATAATAATAAAATTTTGTTAGGGCACATCTACTTCATAAAGTGAAGGCATGTCTATTTACATTGATTGATTAGCCAGTCTGCTTTGTTTTCAGCATTAAATTTAGCATTGAAAAAAATGTTTACTCTTTCTGAGGGCATTGCTGCCCATCTCGTAGAATGTAACTTGAAAAACTAGTGTTCAAATTAGTGTTCTAGTTTTTCAAGGCAGTTATTTAATAAAACAAAGGTATAAGTTCTACATTTGGATTTAAAGTTGACCTTGGACTAAATCTGCATATCACAGAGACACAACTCTACCTTTATAATACCCAATTGTCAACCTAAGACGTAACAGGTTCCTAGGTGATCCAAGAAATCATATAAATTGCATATTTAATACAGATTTTTAGGCTAATTCAAAACAAATCATGTGGTCAAAGCGCTCAGCAATAAAAATGGAAGGAGGATAAAGTAACAAAAAGTTTAACAGCAATACAAGAACTAAATATTATGGCAAATATTATAGCAAGAAACGTGCTAAAATTCAGAAGCATACTATTTACCTGGGAAATATACTTTTTTCTTACTTCATTGGTTTCTTCAGTATCTCTCTTCACTTTATACAGTCCCGTGTGCATCTTTAAAGGTTCACTTGTTGTTGCTTCTGCAGTTGCAATTCAGTCCTGTAAAAGAAGCAGCATATCATCACTCCATGAGAAAAAAGATCAAGTATATTCTAGGAAGCTGAGTTATCCAATCTCATCAATCTCTTTTCCTAATTCATTTTCACCAGAACTACACACAAACAGGTAAGCCAAGGTGGTGGAGAGAGTAAAAAGAGGTCATTAAAATACAAACTAGACAGTTAAAACTACTTAAAATGCTAGTAGAAACTGAAAAATATAAATGGAAATAAGGCAAAGTCAATTGTCTCTTATAATAGATCAGAATAAGATGATTCATTAAAATCTGTAATTTTAACACTCTGCACCAATGAGTTTCCCTCTCTCCCTCCTAGCTAAATTTGAGATGGCTTAGAAGAAATGATAAAATTAACTGACATGTGGCTTTACAACTTCAAGGCTGCACACCTTCAAGGATATGTTCTTTTTCACCACTTTTCCATTCAAAGCTCTGGGGTTTTCCTGGCATGGAATCTAGAGGTACTACAATGTTCTAGGTTGTGTGTTCTAGGCCAAAAACTATGTTATCTTTATCTTTGTTTCTGACCCTTACCCCTACATTTTCACTTTCTGCCCAGGGCCAATGAAGAACACACAGTGTAACTCTTGGAATAAAAAATAAGACAGTAACTATGTTTAAAAAAAAAAAAAAAAGCCCACCAGAGATGCTTCATGTGATCTTATAATTACTTGGGAAACAGTAAAAACCAATTCTTTTGAGTTCTTTACTTCTTTTCCAAAGCATTTTCTTTGGTTGAAATGTCCACTAGCAGTATAATGGCCTTAAAGAGAATATGCCAGAGGATCTTAGACTTTCAAACAGAACAATGCATTGGTACACCAGAAAGGGTCAGAACTATGAGTATCTGTAAATGTAAACAAGTTTGCCCCTCAAAACAGCACCCCTCACCAAGTAGCTCCTACTCATCTTTCACCATCATTCTTACTTCTTTAACATATACATAGCTAGTTCTGATTCTGTCAGGCACTGTTCTAAAGAGCTTTAACTAAATTGACTAATTCTACCTTTATAACAACCCTATGAGGTAGATTCTAGTATTCAGATTGTCCAGATGGGAAAATTAAGGCACAGAAAGCTTAAGTAAATTGTGCAAGGAAATTCACTAAGCGCTGTTCACAGGCAGAGGTTCTTGGGCAAATGTAAGCAGTGTAAGCTGCAGTCTCGTCCACCTATTTCACTTTACTGCTGCCATTGTATAGCTCAATGTCTAGTAGAATTAGCTCTCGTTGGAAATTTTTCCTAATTAATACTTTATTGAAAAACAACTTTTAACTCTCCACAACTTAAAGACTGACGTTCTTATTTTAAAAAATTATCCAGTGCACATCACAAAAAGGAAACCATAATTTTATGGAAATCAGAAGCAATAACTATTTTAAGCTGAATACTCACATTCACCCACTACTTTAGCTTATTAGATTTATTCCAGACAGCTTGCTACGCTTACTAATTTCCTTCTAACTTTAAAGTCACAAGGCCCTGGCTCAAGCAAGGCATTTATTCTTTTACTCTCTAGTTCAGGTGATTGGGGTATGATGCTAATGATGCCAGAAGCTGTGGGTTCAATCCACTAGAAACCAATTAGCTTTGTTGGCTTCAAGTCTACAAACTTTTAGTCTGGATGGCATATTGTGGATCCTAAGAGGAACCAGGTGGGAGTGTGCAAGACAGCACAGATACTTCTGCAGGAGGAATGAGTCCACATATAACACTGGGGGAGGAGCAGGACGGGGGGAGGGGAGGGGAGAAGCATCAACTTTACTCATAAAGAAAAGCTTCATGATCATATTGACAAAACAGTTCTACCCTTCTGAGTAAGAAGTTCTTCTCAATCTCAGACCTTTTGCCAGAATCTAACCTAAAGTCCCTCCTTCAAAAAACAGGTGTAAGATTAAAAAAAATAAAAAAGAAACTAGGTTTTTAGCTTTTGCACAAGCTCTGCTTGATTGATCTAAAACAGGATTTTCTTTTTCTTGAATTTTTATTTCTGACATCAATTCCACTGACAATAAAAAGTATTTGTGATAGTTTTAGATAGTCACAAAAATCTCTAGCAGTGCAGCATAGCAAATCATCAGAAAAATCTTACTATAATTCCATATGTATATCCTAGATTTTTTTTTTAATTTACTCTTAATTTTTATAAAACCAAAATCTGCTCCATCTCCAAACAACATGAAGTTATTTTAGACATGCTTTCTCAAATTAAATAAAGAAACCAACCAATATCAGTCAAGATCAAACTTTAAAACCTAGGGCCTGTTCAAGATATAAATTTTACCAGCTTCTACAAATAAAGATGAAAAAAACAAAACTATATTCCTTGTTATTTTAAAAGAAACCCACTTGGGATAAGCCATCTTCCAATTTTCCTGCCCACAGGTGGAAAGAACTTTCCCAATGTTCTAATACTATAAAGCACATGGGTTCCTACAGTCACAAGGTAACTATGACAGCAAAGCCACAGTTATTTATGAGATCACAAAAACTTTATGATGTAATTTTTAAAAATTGAGGTAAAATTGAAGTAACATAAACTTAGCCATTTGAAAGTATACAATTCAGTGGCATTCACAATGTTGTACAACTGTCACCTCTACCTAGCTCCAAAGCATTTTAGTCGCCCATTAAATTCATTAAGTAGTCACTACCATTCCCTATTCCACTACTATGTTTTTTGCCTCTATGGACTTATTTTCCATAATATTTCATATAAATGCAATCACACAATATGTGACCTTTTGTGTCTACCTTGAAGACAGGTATTCAAACAAATACTTGTACACAAATGTTTATAGAGGCACTAGAGGCCCGGTGCACGAATTCATGCACGGGTGGGGTCCCTCGGCCTGGCTGGCAATCGGGGCTGTCTCGCCCAGTCCCTATGGGGCCAGCTGGTGAGGGGGTGGGACTGCAGGAGGTTGGCCGGCCAGCTGGGGGGAGGGACCATGGCAGGTTGGCCAGCCGCAGGAGGTTGGCTGTGGGAGCGCACTGACCACCAGGGGGCAGCTCCTGCGTTAAGTGTCTGCCCCCTGGTGGTCAGTGGACATCATAGTGAACAGTCAACCAGTCGTTTGGTTGACCAGTTGTAACGGTCGTTTAGGCTTTTATATACTATATAGATTATTCATTTCTGCAATAAAGGCTACCAGGATTCTGGTAGAGCTTGCATTTCCCTGGTTATAGTTTATTTTCATCATCTTTAGTTCCTAGTAGAGGAATTGCTATCATGAGCCTTATATGCTCAATGATAAGAGTAAATTGTTTAACAGGCTTCATAGAATGGTATCATGAGTTATCTCTGATATAATTCAAATCCCTAAAACTGATTATGAGACACTAGCTACTTTACCAAAGACTGTGCTCAAACACACCTGCTAGAGCTTAAAGTGTCAACCATAATTGGGAGGGCTGGGAGGAAGACTCTAAAACTCTTTTCTCTATAAACTAGTGGCCCAGTGAATGAATTCATGCACATTGAAAGGAAATTAGTTAGAAGAAGTATTTTAATATCACTATTCGTCCTTTCTCTAAATAGAAATGTCAACCAAATTCACGATTGACAATGACAGATTGAACCACACACATGCGATTGGCACCAGTGAGAGCTTTATATGTATCGTGCATATGTGAGTCAACTTAGCCTTTTATATATAGCTGTCTCCAATCTGGGACCCCTCCGGGGATGTCTGACTGCCGGTTTAGGCCCACAGGGATCGGGCCTAAACTGGCAGTCGGACATCCCTCTCACAATCCAGGACTTCTGGCTCCTAACTCCTCACCTGCCTGCCTGCCTGATTGCCCCTAACTGCATCTGCCTGCCAGCCTGACCACCCCCTAACCGCTCCCCTGCCAGCCTGATTAACACCTAACTGCTCTCCTGCCAGCCAGATCACCCCCAACTGCCCTCCCCTGCAGGCCTGATCTCACCCCCAACTGCCCTCCCCTGCTGGCCTGATGGCCCCCAACTGCCCTCCCCTGCCAGCCTGGTCACCCCCAACTGCTCTCCCCTGCAAGCCTGGTCACCCCCAACTGCCCTCCCCTGCCAGCCTGATGGCCCCCAACTGCCCTCCCCTGTTGGCCTGGTTGCCCCCAATTGCCCTGATCTCACCCCCAATGGCCCTCCCCTGCTGGCCTGATCTCGCCCCCAACTGCCCTTCCCTGCCGGCCTGATCGCCCCTACCTGCCTCTGCCTGCCTGATCACCCCTAACTGCCCTCCCCTGCTGGCCTGATCTTGCCCCCAACTGCCCTCCTCTGCTGGCCAATTTGGTTCTGATTGGTCGGTTTCTATGCCAGTCAGTGTCAAAGCTCCGCCTCCTAGGCAGCCATTGGCTCCTCACAGTTCACCCAGATTTGGTTCTGATTGGTCGGTTTCTATGCCAGTCAGTGTCAAAGCTCCGCCTCCTAGGCAGCCATTGGCTCTCACACTTCACCCAGATTTGGTCCTGATTGGTCGGTTTCCATGCCAGTCAGCATCTCTGGGCCTATCAACGGGGTCTGATCAGAAAGGCAGGGCTGAGCAGCAGCCCCAGTGGAAGCCTGGAGAGAAATGGAGGGCGGCTGCTAGAGAGAAAGAGAAAGGCTACGGTTGATCAACAGCTGCCACAGAGGCTGGGGATCAGACCCTGCTTCTCTCTTCAGGCCTCTCTCTGGGCCTGATTCGGGGCCCCCTCAGCAGTCAGTGCTGGGTCACTGCACCTGCAGCCGCAGCAATCAGTGCTTGGTCGCCACAGCAACCCAGCACTGACTGCAGGACTGACTTCCGGTTGGTGGAGCCTCTGGTCATGACGGACCCAGGGTTTTTATATATTAGGATAGAATAAACTTGCTTAATTAGACCTGCTTTCTGATGTAGCTGAACTTTTTCCGGCCCAGTGAAGCACCCCAACTTCTCTTTCAAGTAATTGTCAGCAACACAGCAGTAAATATCAACACGAAGCAAATTATTACTGTAGATCACGCACAGAGAACAAGGGG